CCTTATGACTCTTAGATTTTATGGTGTATGTGTTCTTATCCATGTGAATTTGTCAAAACCATAATCACGAGACACGGTTAATGGCAAATCCAAACTCATTTGGACTTAACTCAATCTTAATTTCTTGCCACCTGGCAGCTCAAGGGGCTGCCATTGCTTCCAAGTTGTTGTTATGCAAGCAATTGAGAACTCTAAGAACTCATATGCAAAGCCAACTTTAACTGGAATGGGCACAAAAATAGAAATATGTCAACACCATAGGTTATAAACCTCACGTCGTGTGCTAGTGTTAAACTACATGTTTTTATTCTTGATTAGATCTTGAAATTCTTTACAGGATCTTTAGGACTCCCACTGTCCTCTTGACATATAAGACTATCTTGCGAAATATTCAAGAGATAGTTTGGATTCTTTATCAAGACAAACACCTCACACAAGTGGTCTTAGTTGGTCTTTGTTTTATCCAGTACATCACAACTTACCAATTACAAATGTACAAGAGTAGGATACTATTACTCTTACATTTGACTATTGTTAATAAACCTTTCTTTAAGATATGTCACTCAAGTTACAATCTTGGAGTATGACTCTAAGAATTGTTTTCTGGAACGAGGTATTAATCATCTTCTTGATTTGACCACTTCAAGAATTCATAGCTCCTCGTCTTAACTATCAGAATTCACTTAGAAGATGAATTGTGATAAGGTCTCTTAATCATTAAAATGATCATATAACATGATACTAAAGTACTCTCCCATCTTTTAAGATTTGAGAAACTTTTATCCTTCTGCCTAATTTGATTCTTCTCATTCGTTCTGCCATGAATCGAAAATTTTCCAATGTATCAGAATTACACTTAAACTTGTAAGTGTAAATCATGATGAATAGACTTATAGATCTTTTGTGATGGACTTGATCAGTGCACAAGAATGTGTACTCGATCCCTTAGTCCTTCATTTGATTCACTTACACATGTGAACAAGGAATTAGTCTTAATTTTCCAAAGATGAAAATTCTCATTCAACATACAACTTGCATGATTCCAAGTTTCTATCCAACTGAAACTTGGGTGATGAGAATCTTTCCTTGTTTGGTAAATTTAGGCACTACCAAAAATGAAAGAATCAAATCCACTTTCCAATATTGCTATCAATGGAATCATATAAACAACAATTTTTTACAAATTCCATTGTAAGGATACTTAGAATAAATAAAACCAAAAATTTTATTTTAAAACTTTGCAGAAAAGTTATCCTTACAATGCAAAAGCATATGAAAAACTTGTTGTTATTTATTCCTAAGCAATATTACATAACTCCTAAGTAACAGCTCAAAATTCTAATCACTGAACCATGCGATCGAAATCCATCTTCGCGATCAGAATCAACATATACTTCCTTCTTCACTTTTTCTTTGATTCTTACAACATCAATATGTGACCCAGTCACATCATGTAATAAGAATCTTAGAATATAAAATTAACAGAGTTTGATAGTTGACTTTACCTGAAGATCTTTCAGGTAAATTTGGCAGCTTCGTACCCAATGCCCCTAACCATGTACCATTGTCAATGTCCATGGAAGTTTGGGAAGTTGATCTTCTAATCAAATTTGCTTTACTAGTCCTCCTAATTATTGTTGATTTAGAAGCACCAAGCAAATAGATAAGATCATTAAGGGACATGCCATAGTCTGTTCCATAGTAGTCCCAAATGAACTCACTATGTGACATAGAAAGTGATTGAACATCCAACTTTCTCAAGACATTGACACCCAACTCTCCCGGCTTGTTAATATGTGACTTTATCTCCAAGATGTAAGCACACATAGACTTTGCTTGCCAGTAGGGCTTAAGTGACCTTGAACTTGTGGGTTAGGGAGAATAATTGGAGGAGATGGAGGAAGTGAAGTTCCAAGAGATTTGGGAAGATCATAGGTGTCTGAATTAGACATCTTTTGGTAGATATTCAAGATAGTTGATTTAAAGTCCTTAATATAACACCCAATATGAAATATTAAGGCTAGGACCCAACACAATATTTTTGTAACTTGGAAGAGGGATGTCGTAATCCAAGCTATAGAATATTTGAAGGTAGGTGAATGACGATTCACCAATTTCCACCAAGATAAACGAAATGTATTACTAGGTTTTAATTGGTTTTGAAACTCCTAGATTCTTTTGAGATTCATTAAAATTTTCAATGACATGTTTCAATTTTGAGTGTGCCCTTCAGGTTTTGTGACTGGGATGCTGAGGATCACAAAACAAGGCATGAAGTAACCATGCAAATTACTTGTTACCCTTAAGTGTTTACCCCTCAATCGACATGCTGGTTAACCACACACGATGCACCGATACTATGATAAACATTAAGTTACCCTTTGCCTACCTTGTTAAATACGAGTTAGTGTGTCGGTTAACCAAACACGCTCCACTAACCGACTTAAACAAAGTGCAAAGTGTAATTTCATGGGTTAGCACCATAAGACATTTTCCTAAGTAACTAAGATTGGGAATTTATAAGTGTTTAGTTACTTAGTATTTATCATTATACTATAAATGAAGGGAGAATTATAGTCCTTGTCCTACCCGTTCAGCTAACGACCCTCCACCAGTCCAGGAAGTGGTGGGTGAGAGTGGACACCCATTAAGTTGGCATTTTATAGGCAACAACCTTATACCCCCCCCCCCCTTATAGACCGACTTCGTGAATGAGGCCTAATAATGGTAAGACGACTTTACTCTTATACATATATATATATATATATATATATATATTATTATTATTAACTTATAATATTATAAAGTATAAGAGTTGAATTTTAACTTTTAAAATTCTAAGGGCTTAACTTGGAATTAGAGTATTCATTAGAGAAAACTTTTCAAATTCCAAAACATGAGGGCAAGTATTGAAACTATTCATAACTCTTGGATTTTTATAACTTATGAGTTTTAAGTAAAGTTTTAAAACTTTTAATGAAGAGATTCTTGGACATCCATAACCTGAGGACAAGTTATGGAGCCATCAAAACTATTTATAAGAAAATACTCTTCAATTTTTTTTGTAACCTAAGGCATATTCATGAGTTTTTAAGATTGATAAATGTGACTTTCCATATAACTTGAGGACAAGTTATAAAAAAACACATTTTATGAACAACTTTTAGATTAATTAGGATTGAAAACAACTAAAACACAAAAAAAAAAAAAATTCAATTAATCTAAAATAACTCATAAATCAAGGAAACATAGAACTTTTGGTAATCCATAACTTATGGAGTTAAATGCTTGTTTTATGATGAAACTTTTCATGCTCCATAACTTAAGAATAAGTTGTTGAATTCTTTAAAACATTAACACCAAATTTTGTAACTACATAAAAACATTGAATCAAAAAAAAAAATTAACCTTTTCATATCCATAACTTATGGAGGTTTCAAAACACATAAGATCGCAACTTTAAAAAAACTTTTGAGCTCCAAAATTTTATGACAAAATTTGTAACTCCTTAAAACATTTAGATCAAACTTTTAAAACTAATAAAATAGTCATATCATTTTATCTTTTACTAAATTCGACCTAATTCAACTCATATAGCAAATGATTCAAATTTTACAAATAATTAGATTTTCACAAAACAAGTAATTATCTTAAAATTTGACAAACTTCATGTTTTTTTTTCCTTTTTTTCCAACTTTGAAAATAAAACATTTGCATTAATATAACAAAAAACAGTCTGGCTTTGATACCACTGTTGGGTTTTGAGCATTCAAACACTCATAAGTGTACATGCAACCCTAAATACCTTGGATCTATGTTTTCCACTACAAGAAAAAGACCCTTTTACGACGTGCAAACCACGACACTCGGTGATTTATGTTACGCAAAGGAGAGTGACATTAAAAGAGTGTCGTCTATTCAAAAAATTTAAGGATTTAGGTCACGCATTATTGCGTGCCCTTAAATAGTGTCTCATGTAAAAAAATTTAAAACACGGAGGGCACTCGTGCGTCCTTTGTGAATGTTGTTTTATATTTTTTTTAAGAAACGCACGTCTCTAAGAGGGAAAATGAAATCCCAAATTTTTTAAACACCCGCCTTCTTCTCCTACATTCATTTCCATATGACTCCCATATCTACCCTACATCGTCTCCACCTCTCACCCATATCCACTGCCTCACAAAATTTTTACAAGCTAACGATTCCAGAGCCTACTAGCGATTGGGGGTTATTTTCACATCTGCTCTACTTCCCATCGTCCATCTACTTCTTCCCTAGATCCGACGATTGAAGAGTACAAATATGTGTAGGGTTTTATTTTATTTTAAGCTTCAAGTTCTCCTGTTTCCGTGGTGATCGACCGGTGGTGAAACGATTCAGCACCAAAAAAAGAAGCGACTCTCCATTCTCTTCTCGATTGAGATTTCTAAGGATTTACATCGGTATCTCAAACGACTTCAACTCTTTTCACAGATTTCTTCCCATCTGATTTTATGATTTCAGATTTCTTATTGGCGACTCATTTCCTCTCCCATCGAGTTCGAAATTTTCACTCAAGGAATTAATGGCAGCGGAAGATGATGAAGGGCCTTCAATGGTGCTTTGTTTATTACACTATGGTAGCGGAGATGAAGGTGTTGTTGATAACCCTAAACAATAGTCATCTTAAAAGTAATTATCAAAGAGAAAGGTACGTATCAGTTCTAGAGTTCTTATATAAAATTAGGTCATCTGTACCCTTCTTATATAAAATTAATAAAATCGATTTTAAAAGCAATCCATAATATCGATTTTGAAATTGAGCCCTAGATTTCGGAATATAGCCATGCCTGCTACCATTAAAATTCACCCCTACTTCTGATTTTTTAGCTTCCTGGTCAGGTTGACTCATAGAACTATTCCCCACAAACCCTTTGACTTCCGAAACATCACCCCCATCCTTGTTCTTTCACATAACCTTGTTACTTTTCCAACTTTGCCCCTGTTCAATCTTTGAATCATTAGACTCCTTTCACTGGCTGAATATTCCCATAATACCCCTGCCCATTTTTACCTCCTGTCTTCCCACCTCTATCAAAACTAAATTCCAAATTTTCCTGATTATTCCTATTATACCCTTGATAGCGAATTCCAGCAGAAGCCCCAGAATTTCCAATTTTCGGATAATTCCCATTTTGCCCCTGCTTGTGGTTTCCAGCAAAAACCCCTGAACCTTCATTTTTCGAGAAATTCCCTTGATGCACCTGACTCGAAAACTGTTTTTTCCCCCTGTAGCTTCTTTTGAAAAAAAAATTCCATTATTTCCTTTGGTTTTCTTCACCACATCAACAAACCCATCATTTTGTTCCTTAAATTCTTTAGTGCTGGCAATAAGCCCTTGCATAAGATCCACAGTAGCTCCTTCTTTTCCTTTCTCTATTTTACTTCTCTCCTCTTCTTATTTCATCTGAATAGCAGTAACATCAATCGAGATTAGTGGGTCACAGTAGTCTCATATCATTATTTCCATTCTCACCTTCACTCCAATGCCCATTATTAGAAGAAATCAATGAGCTCCTAGCCAGCTGTTGCTGCTGGAAGTCGGTTTGATAATGAGATGAAAGATGATTGTTGCCAACCATCCTTGAACGATTTGCAGCATAAAGTTTCTCTTGGTCATGGCATACACTGTTATATAGTTCATGGTTCTGCATAAAGTGAAAACTTTTGCTTCTAGGTCATCCAAATGTACAATGTGATTTTTCATAACATCAGGTACAAATGTAGATTTTTCATAATAGCAGTGAAAATCTTAATCAGTTGAATGTGTGTTTCATAACATCAGGTACAAATTTACAATGTGATTTTTTTATTCAATTACAGGGTAATCTTATTCCGGAAGGCCATAAAGTTCTTATCTTTTCCCAGAGTTGCATAATGCTTGATATTATTCAGGTTTGTTTCAATGCCTAACTAAATTGGCTATGTTTCTTGTTCTTTTTCTTAACCAAACTTTATCAACTTTGTGAATATTATTCTGACTTGTTTTGATATTTATTTTTGATATTTTGTTCTTAATGTTGGTTCTAACTTCTATTTTTTTTTTCTTTTTTTTAAACAGTTACAAGGGACCTGAATAGGGGTTTTCTGAATTTGTAGTGATGGCTGCAGACACTGAAGATTTTGAAATGATTTCCCATATTCCATTCCTTACTAAATATAAGGTATGTTTCCCATATCCCATATTCCATTCCTTACTAAATATAAGGTATGACACCTGAAATTGTACAAGGGAGGGGCCATGATAAGGCGGCTGATTGGTGGAGTGTCGGAATTTTAATGTATGAAATGCTTTCTGGAAAGGTTGGTGTGCTGTCACCCTTAATTACTTTTAATAAATCACTATTAAATTCCCATTACTTTTAGCGTGAGGGTAATCATGTAATTTTGTTCGACAGTGTATCTTTGCAGCCTTCGTTTAGAGGTGGAAACAGACTAGAAAGATTCAGGAGAAAATAGTGAAGGACAAGATAAAGCTTCCAAGATTCTTGTCAAGTGAAGCACATTCGCTTTTGAAAGGGGTAATGTTGTAATTTGTAATACTATATGCATGTGTTATAGTTGTTGGTTAATATTATATGCATGGAATACAACAATTTCGGTTTTGAGCTTCTCACCTGATGGAGAGGTACAACCGTTCATGCTATTTTAATACATGATGAAACAGAAACACTACAAGTTTTTCACTTAATTATATATATATATATATATATATATATATATATATATATATATATATGGTAGGGGTTGATAGCTTTCTCTTAGCTTGGTTGAATGATAAAATGGTGGTCATCGCGATCCATGTGATCAGAATTTCCCTGGTGCTCCAACATTTTTGCAAGGTAAACCCATTTGGCCAGACCTCTGCATTGCCTCCAACAAGGTCTGTTACTTGTTATTATGATTTATGATTCTGAGGGTATTTAGGTCATTTACTCAGAATATTGCATTTTCAACTTTACAAGTAGATCACACTCGCTTGGCTAAACGTTATTCAGTATGCTTTCAAACTTGTCTTCTTCCGGAATTCTTTTTCTTTGTAAGTTTATCCTTATTCTTTTCTTCAATTAAGTGTTGTCTGGAGAGTGTTGTATGAACAACAATAAATCAACATATTTTTCCTTCTTTTTCTTGTATGAACAATACATAGTAATAGTTTGACTTAATTAGTTGTTTGTTTTCTAGCTTATTATAGTCACTGATTGGTTTCTTGTTATGCTTAAATCTTAACAGCTATCATGGCAACCTTCAATAGTAGTTTTGGACTGGCACCATCTTGCAAAAGATATCGTGTACGTTCTCTTCTACTGCTATTGTGGATTCAGGAACATCCTTGCTTACTGGTCCAACTATATGTATCTCACATGAAGCTTCTGTTAGAATTATTAATCTTAGAGATTTCAAGTTTTTCATATTTCTTGTATCTAATTAGTTTGTAAATTTCCGTTACAACTTTTATTGATTTGTTTTATCTTTCCATGGAACGATTATTTGTATGACATTATATTTTGTGCAATGGATTGTATTTTTGTATATGATATTTTATTTATTAAGAGACATTAAATGAAAATTTAATTTGAAAATTAATAAATCTATAAATAATATTTTTTTAAACATATAAAATTATGATACGCAAAAATGTGTGTCATCTTCATTTATGATATGGCCTTCCTTGACAGGGGCTTTCTTGATACGCATTGCGTGTCATTAACACGCGCGTCGTAAGGTTACGACACACAAATGCGTGTCATCTTCCTTTATGACAGGGCCTTCCTTGATACGCATTGCGTGTTGTAAACGTGCGTTGTAATTGCGCATCGTAAATACGCGTCGTCTCTCTTTATGACAGGGCCTTCCTTGACGCACATTTGCGCGTCGTCTGAGCGTTTTACGACGCGCAATGAGCGTCGTAAAAGACTATTTTTCTAGTAGTGTTATCTATTATACATGAAAATATGAATATTCTAATCCCCTAACTAACATACAATCTTATATACTAGGATAACAAAAACTAGATAGAATACATACCTGGTTGTTGTAACTTGTCTTCATGAAACTTTTAGTGCCTAGTGCCCAAAGTGTGACACCTCAAATGGTTCACACAACACCATGAACACTTGGAATAACCTTGAGAATAAGGATACTTGGTTCTCTCTAGTGAAATTGACTAGCCCTCTTAGTGTACCCACACTTGTGTCAATTTCACCAACCAAGGACATTTTAATATAGTGTGGAGATTAGGGTTAAACCCTAATACCCATGACCTTTCATTTCTTATGATCCATGGGTTAAACACTCCATGGACTATCCATGAAAGCTTAGCCCAACCAAAATGAACTTAGCCCATCACACATATATATCTAAAATTCCATATTTAATTAGTTCCTTTCGATCACTTAATTAATTCCAAATTAATTCTTGATCAATACTAATTAAATAATATGATTATATAGTAATATATTAGAACTTATAATATATTAATATAAATCACTAGTGTCCTTTTTCCTCATCTTGTCTATCCAATTGTCCCGATGCCATGTAACCCAAATGGACCATGTCGGGTCGGGTCAAGTCTTACCAATTATAGTTATGGACTTAGACATTAATCCAACAGTGTGAGCTTCACGTAAACCAAAATTGTATTGGTATTCCTTATGTGGGTCGTTATAACCATGCTTGATATGAATGATATGCCTGTCATGACGTTCTTCGGGAGTTAGTTTCGGTTAGATATTTTTCACCCTACACTTGCCCCGTCTAGCTGTAGCAAATAACTCAGGTGTGGGGGTGTCAACCCCATATAGATCTATACACAATTACCTTGCTCCCCCTCTAGGAGACTCTAGTTATAACTACAGGGCTTACAGTGTACGCTACGTAGGTACGGTGAAGGAAAGTCTCACAAGAGCCTTAAAAGATTTACGTGAATTTTAACTCCCATTATTGAATAATGTAAATGACATCATAGACTAAATTTGTGACTGAAGTTTTATTACACGCGTTTTACAGCTTTATGACATACATCTTATTGCTCATACTTTAACAGCTTTATGATAGATAGGTTATGACATGCGAATATTTCTTTAACGGAATTTTGTTTTGTATATCATTTTGGTTAAATTATTTATATTTGTTTATATAAATAATCATTACTGAACATATGTAATTGTATCACCAGTTGTGAAAAATAGCATAATATCTCCGGTTTTAAGCCATTAAAATAGTGAGATACAAGTTTACGACTATTTTACGAATAAAATTGTTTTTAGTAAAATATCAAGCTTTGTATTTTGTTTTATACCTTGTTGAAAGTTTTTGCCAAAAATATATTTTTTTATTTTGATTTGACTCTAGTAAGTCACAATTTTTGTATTATCACGAATGATAAACTTTTCAATTTTATCCAAATCTTTGTGCAGGTTTTATAAATATATATATATATATATATATATATATATATATATATATATATATAATATATATATATATATATATATATATCGAAAAGTTAAACATGCATGGATGTATACATAGCATGTTTTTGACGATTTTGAGTGTACATCCCATGTCTTGAAGTTTTCATGTAGCTTATATGTCAACAAACACATTCATCATGATTTTTAAGAAGATAAACAAGATAAAAATTCTTTTTCACAAGTAGGTGTTCCTTTTTTCAACCCAATATTTAAGATGCATGCAATTACCCAAAGGTTAAACACAATACTCATAGTTACATTCAAATATCCAATGGTTAAACGAGATTTGACTTGTATCCTCCCCCCGAAAAGTATGAAAACACGAAAAAGATGGGGGTATGAAGCTCACCTTGATTCCGTGTGCTAGGAAGAAGAAGAAAGTAGTTGTGTAGCTTGAGGAGATTTCTCAAAATTTGATGAAGTTCTAAGACGCTACACATTAAAATAGGTGTGTAAACAGAATGATTTCAACTCTAACATGTATAAGAACACTTTGAGTTTCACAAATAACTTACCAATTTGCCTAGGACTGATTTTTGGTTGATGACAATGCTCGAAATTTTGAGACGGAACAAGGGGGGAGTTTCTTGAGAGCCAGTCAGAAAAATGGAAGTGTTTTGTGTGTGTGTGTGTACGTTGTGGTGTTGGCCGAAAATAAGAGAGGGGGAGGAGTTTCTTGAGAGCAGGTAAGAAAAATGGACATGTTTTGTGTGTGTGTGTGTCTGTGTTGTGGTGTTGGCCAAAAATATGAGAGGGGGGTTGACTTTGTTGATTAGATGCTTAAGGTGAAACTTGCTTAGAAGTATGGGGGTTAAGTGCTTTGTTGTATGCTGAACAAAAAAGAGGTGGCACTCATTTTTCCAATTCCTTTTTTTCTTTTTTTTGTTCAACCCTAATCAAACCCTATAGTGTTTTCGGTCCATAAGGTTTTTAAATGGGTTTTCGGTTTTAGGGTGGCCAAAAACACCATAATTCCATAAAGAGTTTGCGGTTTTTGATGTGTGTATGGGTCTTTTGATTTATTTGATCCAATTGAAGGGTTTTCGGTCCAATAAGGCCAAAGGGAGAATTTTTCGGCCCAATAGGGCCCAAGGATGAGTCTTTGGCCCAATAGGGTGTTCAGCTGAGAATTCTTCGACCAAGGCCCAAAATTGATTGGGCTTAGCTATTGGATCAAG